AATCAAGGTGAACAAAATGATGAATTCTTTATCTTTATTAACATCAGATATACAAACAGAACAAATATTCAAAATTTTACTCTCTACAATTTCACTCAAAACCATCAAAACATTTTGATCTTAGAAAGAAAGCGAAAATATATATTTGAGTCTTAGAAGGAAAGGGAAAAGATATATGCATTAACAAAATGATAACCAATGTACGTAGGAGTATTTGACGATTTTAGCTGGCCAAAATTATTTCTCTCCTTTTAACAGCTGAATACTTTATATATTATATATTTAAAGTTTATATATATATATATATATATATATATATATATATATATATATATATATATATATATATATATATATATATATATATATATATATATATATATATCAGGCCTTGCGATGAATAAGAACTGCGCGACGCATAAGCACGACGTGATTTTTGACGTCATTAAATTCTTTTTATTTGCTTTTCATATTTATCGACATTAACTGCACCAATTTACTTAATTACCGCAAAACTACTTTAAATCATTTATGAAGAAATGTTATTATTTAAAATTGTTTTGGAATGTTTCGTTTTTTAAAATGTAAAAACATTTGTTTATTTTCTCGACGTTTGTCACGTTTTGTCTATACTAAACGAATAAAAAACATTATAACTTAAATTTAAAAAAGATTATAAAATATGCTAATATTTGATTTTTTTTTTCTTAAATATGTAATTTAAAGTTTTTCAAATAATTATTTTTTCTTTTTAAAAAGTCAGCGAGTAATAAACTGAAAATTTTATAGCTAATATTTTTACAAGCGATTTTATATAATATTTATTTATTTATTTTTATTTATTTTCAAAAAGCGGTTGATAAGCACAATCACTCGTAATAATAAAAAACTTAAACGAACGTTTTGAATAATTTTTAATGTTAACAAGGAATTTTATTTCTAGTAAAATAAAATAAAATGTTAGAATAAAAATCTTATAGGTATAAAAGAAATATTTCAGCGAAAAAATTATTCTTAAAAATTATTATTAAAAATTATTCGAAAAACTATTGACGTTCTATTTTTCAGCAGCAGTTTTTGAGCACGCTTCGTTGAGTTTCGGTAACTTTTAACATAAAAGCGATCGTTATTATTTAAGTAATTTTTTTGAGTTACTTTTTACAAAAATTTTAATAACTGTACTTTTTTATTGAATCAAGTAGAATACGTTTTAATATTATTCCTTTTTTATTTTTTTATTTGCCCTCACTAATTTTTAAAATGTTTCCTCGAAATAACTCTTAAATACTTTAAATACATCTAACAGCTAATAAATATTTTTAAATCTATGGAATAATTTTAAAACCTAACAAACCCCCGTAAAATAATTATTTAAGTTTAAAATCTAAAACTAAAAGAAAGTATTTTTGTTCAATTTTATCGACAACTTTGCTATTGCTGAATAATTTTAATTAAATGTTAGCTTAAAAGATTTAAACTTTTTTTTTAATTTTCGAATTTTTTCTACTTGTAAATAATGAGCATATTTAATTTTTTTAAATTCAAACTTTTATTTCAACAGAGTGCGGTTTTTAAAATACTTTATTAAATGTTAAAATAATCGTAAATTACTTCATTAAAATTCCGCTCAAAAATATTTTTAAACATACTCAAACAAAAAATTTTTTGCTCGACGCAAATAGCCCTAGCTACACGCAAAATTGCTCTTGGACGACGTAAAATTCACATCGCCCGACGCTTTATCGCAAGGCCTGATAATATATATATATATATATATATATATATATATATATATATATATATATATATATATATATATATATATATATATATATATATATATATATATATATATATATATATAACCCTGACCTTGATGTGCTTAGAACATGATTAAAATTTAGATGGCATTAACAGGCAGTTGAAATTAAGATTTTTAAATAGCTAGTGGTATAAACTCATGGAAAAACGAAAAAAAACTAAAAGGGTTTCAATGCGCACTACAACTTTTTCAATTTTAAAGTCAAAATTTACTTTAAAATTTGTTAAAAAAATTCTAAGTTTCATGGTACATAACTTTTGTGGTAATTAATATTTCAAAACGGTAGTAAGAGTAAATTTATTATGCATGGAAAGTAAACATTGTAAAGTACATTCATTTTAATATTGTTTATACAGTATTCAAACTCCTTTTGTGTAATTTATAGGAACTATATTTATTAAAAAAGGTAGACAATCCAGAAATACAAACAAGCTACTCAAAAAATAATTTATTTAGACTGATGTAGTGAATTTTGCCAGGTGCAGATAGTACACTGATTGTGTTTGTTTTTATCGCCAATATGTCATATTGCTAGTGGACATATATTCACTAAATTTCAATGTATCAATATTTATTTGCTGAGTAGATTGAAAACTTTGAATACCAGTAAAATAAAAAATGCCTGTTCAATTAGCATCTTCAACTGTTTGTTTAAAGCTTTTATTATCTATAGATTCTGGTTTAAATTGAAGATAGCTTCTAGTTTTAGAAATTGTTCTACTTAGATGAAAATTTGTTTTCAAAGTGGTGCACAATTTTTCAGTCAGCCTTTATCAATATTGAAAAAATAATTTCTATAATATTGTTTATACAGTAATCAAACATTTTATTGCTAAAGATGATTTTGAAATAAACAAACAAAATACAATACAAAATGCAAAACTAGATTGCATAATCCTTATGGATGCACATAATCCTTATAATGCTTATGGATGTTAAGAATATTCTTAACATCCATAAAGACAATGAAGGTGTATTTAAACATATTTCTTATTGTATTATATCAGATGACATTACACATGATATAATTAATGTGTGCAAAACATTTCAACTATTCTTACCCAAATTAAAAATATCCTTATCTGTCCAAAGTACATTATTTCACTGATGCTTATGCATGGCAGTACAAAAATTGAAAAAGATTTTACAATCTATTTTAATTTGAAAAAGATTTTGGCCTTAAAGCTGAATGAAACTTTTTGCCACTCACCATAAAAAGTCATCATGCGATGGATTGTTTGTACTGTAAAAAGGTTGACAGAGTAAGAATGTTTGAAATAACCATAATGAATCCAAGTTCTCAGTTCATCAGAAGCCATGTATGAATTTTGAGAAAATCAAAGTTACAAATTACTATTGCAACATGAAGCACAACAAGAAAGGTACAACATTGCAGTAACTCTGGTACTTGTGGCATTCATCAGTATATATTGAGAACAAATTGATTGGGATTGGGACAAAGAGGTTTAGTACAGACACTAACTACATTATAATATAAAATCTTAAAAAAAGACAATATATATTTTAAGCTGATGCTGTCAGTAGTTATGTAGTCAATGATGATAAGTGGTGGATCAGCATCATAACTAAAATTAACCTAGAAGAAGCTGATTTTGAAGTCAAGTTTCTCCAACCCAAAAGTTTCATCAACATATTTTAATGGTATCAAATAGAAGACTAATGTTTTATTTTCAACATATTAAAAATATCTTCCAGACCTTGCTCTGTTTCTGGTAGAAACTTATAGTATAGAACTATTAATAAGATAAAAATTAATAAAATACTTTTAAAAATTGATAATATAATAGATAAAATAAAAACAGCTATCCCCCTGGATGTGGTTACGGCGCTCAATAACCTAATGACTATGCTGACACTCACGCACACATTCAGTCGGATGCTCCACAATGCACATCGGACCAGCGCTTGCTGACTATGTGCTTGGATCTGAAATCTCACTTCATAGCACGTCATTCCACACCAGCACGGGGCAGTAGCTCTTTTGGCTAAGAGTTATGACTTGTGGGCTATGGTGACTAATGAGTGCATTCTATCAATTGAAATCCATTCTGTAGGCATCTATCTGGCTCTATCATAATAGATATAAAAATAAATGATATAACAGATATAAAAATAGATAATCCTGATAATAGTTCTAGAAATAATAAGAAATAATATATAAATTATGTCTTAAATTGAGGGAGATTGTCATGTTCATAAGGTTATGAACATGAGATATTGTCATGTTCATAAGGTTATAATTTCTAAAATGTGGTAATTTAACCTAAATAATGCAGATAACAAAAAATTATGACTTTAATAGTCATAAAAACAGATTTTATTAGCCTGTTTTTATGATTTGTAAATTTAGGGGATACTTTGTTGTGTTTACAAAGCTATAAATTTAAAGCTGTTACACTTGGAAGTCTGAAAATACAATATAATTCAGGCCTTTCCATGAAAGCTGTGCAGTCACATGCCTTGTTTGTCCACAAATGAAATTTTTGCCCAATATTTTTTTAACTTAAAAATAATTTTAAAAATGCAGTAAATTGCATTTTTGCAAAATGCAGTAAAAATACACACATTATTTGAAATATATTTTTTCTTGTTGAGCTCTTAAAACAATAGCATCATGAATTTAAACTTGAGCAACAAGAACACTGCACCTTGACAACAAACTCTCTTCTTGCGTTGTTTGTCAAACAAGTTAATGATACAATCATTGACTTAGGGTCTCATTTATAGTTTAAAATAAGAATAAAACAATTGATTACAATTTTTGTATTAATTGTATTAAGTTAATAAAATTATATAAGAAATTTATTTTAAAAAAATCCAGATAATGAAAAATTTAATATAATAATAAAACAAATTTTTGTTATTCATCAGTAAATTATTAGGTGAGCATTGTATAAAAAATAATATTTTGAAATAACCAATGAGATATGAATTAACATAAGCCAGTAACACAATGAACAAACTTGATGATTAGCAACAATAATAAAATAAGCAACTAAAGTAAGTAAACATAACAACGCATGTTTAATGAAAAAAATTGAAAATCAAATGAAAAAGTTAAAACTTAATAAAAGGACTTAGCTTAATAAATTATTTAACATAAAAAAATTTTCTTACTTTTGAAACAAACAAAGCATAAAATATTAAAAACAATTACCTTTATTGGAAGAAACAGTGGAATCTTTGTTTGGTAAACTTGAAATCTCTAAATAATATAAAGTTCTTACTTATATCTATCTAAAACTTGAAATAAAAATATGGAGTTGAAAAAAATAACACTAAAAATGTATCTATAGAAAATAATAAAATCATTCCCGCAAGATTTAATTACAAATGTTTTTTATATAATTTTTATCCTCCTGAAAAACTATACAAAATTTGGTATATGTTTCATGCCTTGTAACGAACCAAGTATGAAACTAAAAAAACTCAGGCAGTTAAAATCATGTGGAGCTAAAATAAAGCAAAACACCACTAGAGCAAAACATAAACAAATGAAACTGCACCCAACAAACTGGGCAAAAAGAAAATTGTGTTGTGAAACTATAAAAAAAAACTAAAAATTTATCAAAATCATTCAATTTTATCCATGACCTTGTTTATCAAAACTTAATTTGAAACATTGAAAGTGTTTGTAAAAATGCTAAGAGCTTACGGGAAAATCAGATTCGGCAAAAAAGGCTTGCTAAGACTAGAGTTGCTAGATGTCTGGCTTTTACAATGAAAAATACAATATCGCCCCTACAAAAATCACAACACTTTTACTGTTGTAAAAGCCTGACATCTAACAATCCTAGCCTGTTTTAAAAGAACTTTTATATAGTATATTTTTTATAGTATATGTAGTATATTTTATAAGCCGAATGAAAAAGACTTTTTTCAATATTAAGTGAAAGCTTATTTGATTTAAACCAGTTAGATATTTTCTTTAGTTTTACATTCATGTCATGAAATAAGTTATTGATGTTATTTTGGGATAAGAAAAGATTAGTATCATCAGCATACATTATTGTCATTAAATTAGAAGTTTTATAGAGGTTATTGATATAAATTAGAAATAACAGTGGTTTAAGTATGGAACCCTGGGGGACTCCACAGGATATATCTAAAGCAGTAGTTGTTGAGTGTGTATCAATATGTATGAATTGTTTACAACTATTTAAGTAACTTTTTAATAACATTAAGACTTTACCAGTGATATCGTAATCATACTGCATTCTCATTCTTATAAATAAATAATCTAATTTATTTATGAGAATACAGTGATCAATAGTATCAAAGGCTTTAGATAGGTCTATAAAAATATCTGAAGTAATTTGTGATTTTTCAAAAGAGTCAGTAATAACACAGGTCTACAAAAAATTCATTTTTTATGGAAAGCTACAGATTTTTTGCAATTTATATTTTTTTAATTTTGCAAAACAGTAGAAATAGTTCTAAAATACTGAAACTCATTTGCAAATGCTAGGATATACTTTTTAAAATAAAAGTTGCTTATAAAACTAAAACAAAAACAGAAAGCAAATGAAACTAAATGTAAATTGATTAAAATAAATATATTTCAAATATCCAAGTCCTAGCAAAGTTATTAACTTTTTATTGATTAATAAAAAAATCTTTTACTTTAGTGAAAGATCAAAATCTTTTTTACTTTAGTTTTAAATAAGATTGCAGATTATATTGCTTATTTACAACTACTTAATCAGGAAGAAACTTTTGCTTGTTGCTCTTTCGTTTATAAACTTTTCCTGTGTCTTCTCGCTTGATGCCCCAGCAGTAGTCTGCCATCATGTGTATGTCTTAACATCCTTGGTAACGATCTTGGATTGTCTTAAGATCTTGATGGAATCGCTCTCCTTGCTCTTCAGTCACATCTCTAAGATTTTCAGGAAACTGGTCAAGATGACTATTTATATAATGAAGCTTTATACTCATTTTGCATCCAAGATCACAAAAGGCTTTCAACATTTTATCAACTAAATCTGCATAATTTTCTGCTTTTTTATTTACAAGAAAATTTTTTATAACAATCACAAACGATAACCAAGCTGTTTTTTCTTTGATATTCATTGTTTTAATGAATTCCTTATCTTTTATAAGATAGTGAATTTGTGGCCCGTTAAAAACTCCAGTTTTTTTTTTCTCTATTGACAATCCTGGTAATGATTTAACTATATACTAAAAACAATCACTATCAGTTTTTAGTGCTTTAACAAATTGTTTCATGAATCCAAGTTTAAGATGGAGTGGTGGAAAAACTATTTTGTTTCGACTAACAATCGGTTCATTCACAATATTTTGCATGCCCACTGTACGAGTCTTGCGAATGGGCCATTCTTTTTTTATCCAGTGTTAATTTCTTGCTCGACTGTCCCACATACAGAGATAACAGGGAAATTTTGTAAAACCTTTCTGCTGACCAAGTAGAAAGTTAATCATTTTTAGATCTACACAAATAATCCAGTTGTGTTCATGATATTTAATCAAGTTAAGCACCATTTTAATGTCATCGTAAGTTTCTTGCAAATAAACAGAATGATCAATTGGTACAGAACCAAAAATATTTCCATTGTGCAATATAATGCATTTGAGGCTTTGCTTTGAGCTATCGATAAAAAGTCTCCATTCTGCTGGATTATATACAGAAATACCATTTGTAATAGGAGACCTGAAATATCATGACAGTAAACAAATAAATTGACTTCTGAAAAAAAATCAACAAAAGTTTCATCTCTTGTTCTAAAATAAGATACTTTTGCAAAGCTATCAAGCAGGTTTTTTTCTTTTAAACGTGACGCTAATACTTCTGCTGCTTGTTTAGAAAGTCCTAAATCACGAACTAAGTCATTCAGTTCTATCTGACTAAAACACTGAGGCAAACTGAATTGTTTAGCATTAGATGAGAAGTCTTCCAAATCTGGTAAAAATTCTTCTGTTTCTGTAGCAGACACGCTTTGCTCATCTTCTGACAAAAATAAACCTTTGAAAATTGGAAACGGAATCTGGTTAGAATGTTGAATTGGTCTAATAGCAGAAGGAATTTTGGGATAAGTTATTTTTTGTCCCTTAGTTTTGCCAACACCACTAGTATCAACAAGACAAAGTAGCAGTCATCAATATGATTTAGTGGTTCCCTCCGAACCGTTGGGACTCCAAAAGGTAAATTTTTTTTTTCCTTTTTCTCCTTATCTCGAAGACTTTCTTCACAAATATGGCATAAAATATGTGGAGCCCACTTTTTATCTTGGTCACCAAGTTTAATATTGAAATACGATTCATATGCTAATTTCACAAAATTAGTAATGTTTTGTCTTTGTCAAACAAGTGCATAGCAACCACATATATAACAAAATGAGTTAGGATTATGCTTGCACTTATGTCAATTTGAAGAAGCCATCATTATATATATTTGATCTAATAAAAACAATGAATTGGTTACTTTTTTAATAACTTAATAAATATTTAATAATAACTATGAAAAAACATAATTTTTAAAAAAATGATAAGTTGAGAACTGCAAAAAAACTAGAGCTTACCAACAAAAACGAACCTTATATTTGGATTCAGCGTTTAAAAATACATTAAAAAAAGTTTCAATATCTCATGCAACAGAATTAATTAACTTAATTCTTGTGAGTTGAAGTTGAAGCGTGTTATGTAGAGTTTTTTTTTTTTGAAACTGACTGTTGTAAAATATATTATTTTCAGAGATGATTAAAAATTCGATTAAATAAAATTCTTTCAAGAATTTTGAAAAAACTGACAAAACTGAAATTGGATGATAATTTTCAACACTTGTTAGTTCACTGCCTTTACATATAGGGGTCACTTTTGCAACCTTCATTTGGGCTGGAAAAATTCCTTGATTTATTGAACAATTAAGAACTTTAAATAGAGTATTCTTTATATTATTGTATGAATTAACAGCAATGTTTTCATTTAAGTCGTCTGGACCAATTGCTTTATTGAGCTTAAGCATTTTAAAAGCATTTTCAAATTCTGAAAATGATAGTTAAAAGGCACTTAGACCAGAGGTTAGAGGAAATTCATAATTATTGATTTGATTTATCATGTTTGGAATGTTTTTTGAAAGATAAGGTCCAACAGAAACAAAGCATTTGTTTAGTTACTGATAATTAAGTATAATAATTAGTTATTGAGTGTGAAAAATGATTTGTAATGTAAATGTAAATGTTTTATAAATTTCTATGTCATCAATAAAATACATCGTATAACGTTTAATCAATTTTATGGAAGTATTGTAGTATGTGTAAATTTTTTTTTTTTTGTCTATTTTATTGATACACGCATAAATAGCAAAACACAAAAAAAATAAACTCAAAATCTTTATCCATTAAACTTTAATGTTAGAAAGACAGACACATAATTATGACAAAATTTCAATTAAACTTCTGCTCATAGCTGTATATGGTATATATATTTACACTTTTGTAGGTTCTGACAAAAAAAAATCTAATCTATACATACATATATATATATATATATATATATATATATATATATATATATATATATATATATATATATATATATATATATATATATATATATATATATATATATATATATATATATATATATATATATATATATATATATATATATATATATATATATATATATATATATATATATATATATATATATATTTGTTGACATCATTTATATTTGTAACACGATTTTTTGAAATTTATTCTTATTTATGTCTTTATTTATAAAAGTTGTAAATTTGTAAAAGATTCTGATGATATGGTTTTTATGATCATTTTTTCAGAAACCTTGTTTGTTTGTTTTTGCAAACAAAAACATCAAGTTGTAGAAAGATTTTTAGCAATCCTAAATTAACTACAAAAGATATTGTCCAATTGAGAATTTTAAAAACACTTTGTTTAAAACTTTTAACAGTATCTATTCAAATTTAAAACAAAAAACTGTATAAGGAAGATTACATACTTTTCGGATTTTTTTTATTGATACTAATATTTCCAATAAGAATTTTAAAAAAAGGGTTTAAGAAATTGTTAAGCAATACTTTAAAGATGATTCAGAACTTTATGAAATTCTGCAAAGCTATATTCTTATAAAAAATGATTTTTTAAGAAACTACTTAGACACATTTATTCCTACATAAGTTGATTCAAAAACAAATCGCTTTAGCATTATCAAGCCTAAACACAACTTTGATATTTTTTTCTTTTTTGATTACTAATTGCTCCAGTGGAGTAGGATTTCCCAAATAAAATAATTAGATAGCTATTACAGATTAACAACGCCACAATATGTTTTTAATGTTTTTTCCTATATTGTCCAGTAATGTCAATTTATTGAAAACACTTGAAATTTTATTGATTTATAACTTTTTAATAGAAAAGTAAAGTAAAAAAAAAAATTGTATGTTAAATAGTATGTAATGCAAATAATCCATTTTCTATTCATTTTTATTTAAATAAAAATGAATAGAAATTAGAGTATTTCTATAAACAGCTAAATAAATTCATACTTCAGTATAAAACTATTTAACTGTGCATAAAAACTATGTATTTGTTATTTTAGTTTTTGAAAGACTAAATATACCATACCATATATACTTGACATAAATATTTAGAGATTAAAACTGGATTATTTGACAAAAATCTTGATAAAATCAAATAAGATAAGTTAAAATATAGATAAATTTAATAACAAGTTCAATTTTTTAACTTATCTTTAAACGAAATTACATCCAAATGTTTTGATATATAGTTTAAATTTTTATATATACATTAAATATCTAAACTAACATGATAATCAACCTAATCATAATGATCATTGTAATCATCATCATTTCTATCATGTTTTTCAATATACTTATGATAATTGTTATCATTATTATTGCTCTACAATCTTGCTCTACAGATTTAGTCTTTTCTCGTACAGTAACTTCCAACTCTTATAGTGGTTGCTTGCAGCCTTGTTGGAAGTGAAGATGTTAAAAAAAAAAAAAAAAAAAAAAAATATTTAAACTAACATGATAATCAACCTAATCATCATGATCATTGTAATCGTCATCATTTCTATCATGTTTTTTAATATACTTATGATAATTGTTATCATTATTATTTTCATCATTTGTTTTCTTTAATTACCACTATTAAATTAAGAAATACCTGTATTAGAAGCACCTTCTGATAAATATGAAGGCATTGTGAAAAACCGACCTGGTTAAATAAACAGAAATATATTTTAAATTGGTACAACAGTCAAAAATTCAAAGTATAAAAGTTATATTAACATAAAATAATTTATTAAAAAATTAACATCATAATCATTATCATTTCCATCTTCAACTATAATAATTAATTTTTGTTTTTGTAAGCAGATTTATTTAAAATTTTGTCTTTTATATATATTCTGAAATTTATGATTTAACTCTAAAGAATAGTAGATCTGTAACCATTATCCTCATCATCATCATCATCATCATCATCATCATCATCATCATCATCATCATCATCATCATCATCATCATCATCATATCTTCTCCTTATCAACATGTTGTTATAGTACATATTATATAATTAGTTTAATGAAGAAATTCTTTCACTAGTGTCACTTAGTGAATTTAAAGACTCATTTAAAAACTTATCAAATAAAATAAACAGAAATAGCTTTTTACTTTTAAATTTTGTAAAATAGTCATTTTACAAAATTTATTTATGACTTAATGGTCATGTTACAAAAATCCAAAATAATCAAATGTATAAAAAACAAAACATCATCATCATCATCATCATAATCAAATTTTTCTGAAAGCAGAGAATTTGATGAGGAAGTTAAAATAATAACAAAAAAATAAACAAATAATGAGAGTGACAAATGACAATCTGAAAAAATTATATAATACAAATTAAAAAAAAAAAATGTGTACTTGCAAGATCCTCCACCTCCATCAATAAATCGTGTTTTGGAATATCTAAAATGGCATTTTTTAACTTTTCAAACGTCGGATTTTTATCAAAATTGAACCATTTTTTTATCATTTCATATGCTTTGTCTTCTTGTTTTGGAAAATTTGCAAAATCACTTTTTATTGATTTTAAACTATGCTCTTCGACTTTTAAGGAAATACCAATCTTAAACCAATCTTGATCAAGTAGTTCAGACAACTTAATTTGAAATTGTGGATTTTGTAGGAATCCATCCATTTGTACTAAAAAACAATACAAAATTCAAAACTTTAAAAAATTTCAAAAATAATTCAAAATTTTAAAAAAATGTAAAAAGCTATAAGTTTAGGAGATTTATGAGCAACAATGTAAAAACTATCCAAGCTTAATAGTCATAAAAAAAAATCTGGCTTTGTGATAATTAAAAAGATCGTAGAGGGTAAGTCTTATAGTTTGTTTGACATCATAAAATCATTTTTACCTACTCTTCATATAGAATAATAACTTATTTTAATTTTTTTTTCTTTTTAACATTTTTAAGCCTTCGCTTCCAAGAAGGCTGCAAGCAACCACTAATTAGAGTTGGAAGTTACAGGAAGAGAAAAGGTGAAGAGTGTAGAGCAAGATAAAGATTGCCAGACGACTTAAAAGATTGCAAATTATATAAATCAGGAAAGCAAGATAAAGGAAGTGAATTTTAAAGACCTGATGTTTGAGGAAAAAAACTAGAGGAGTAAGAGTTTTCGGAGCACTTAGGAACAGTCACAGAAAAAGGATGAGACTTAATTGAATGGCAGGTAACACAAGAGTGAAATTTAGTAGATGGCACAAGAGACGCTAGCTCTGTAGAGCAGTGCTTTTTATAATATTTGTAGAAAAAAGAAAGAGAAGCAACATTACGACGATGTGATATGGGTTGAAGGTTGGCTGCAAGAGCAGGTCCAACAATGTTTACAATGCGCTTTTGCACCTTGACTAAAAGAGAAAGGGCATTATTAGAAGATCTGCCCCAGATATGGCAACAGTATTCCATACAAGGCCGGATTTGAGATTTATAGAGATAGAGAATAGAATCCAGAGTAAGAAAGAGTCGAGCTCGATAAAGAGATGTAACTTTAGCTAATTTTTATGCTAATTTTGCAACGGAATTAATATATGGTTTCCAAGAAAGATCAGAAGTAAGAGTTAATCCTAGAAGATAAAGAGTAGGAGACTCATCGAGTACATTATCGTTCATAAATATAGGAAGGTCTAAATTATTCCGATAACGATTGGCCAAAAAAAATTGAGTTTTATCTGAATTAAAGTTCACCAGCCACTGTGAACCACATGCTGTAGCAGAAGTGAGGTCCTTTTCAAGCTCAGACGCCCTCCAAGCAATCAGGGAGTTGGCTTCTTATCATGACAAGAATAAATGGTAGTATCATCAGCAAACAATGCCACCTTAGATGTGAGAATATCTGGAAGATCGTTAATGTAAATTAAAAAGAGTATAGGATTGAACCTTGAGGAACCCCTCAAGAATAAGAAGAAGAGTGCTGTCCATTGAGGACAACTTTTATACTACCATTGGAAAAGAAGGATTCAATAATCTTAAAGATATTTCTAGATACACTGTAAGAAGAAAGCTTATGGAGAAGACCAGCATGCCAAACTTTATCAAGCGCTTTAGAAATGTCAAGAGCGATAGCCTTAACCTCTCCACCTTTGTCTAATGAAAGTATCTATATATACTATGACTCCACTTGATTTGAAAGTATCTATATATACTATAACTTCACCTGATTTGAAAGTATCTATATATACTATGACTCCACCTGATTTTAAAGTATCTATATATACTATGACTCCACCTGATTTGAAAGTATCTATATATACTATGACTTCACCTGATTTGAAAGTATCTATATATACTATGACTTCACCTGATTTGAAAGTATCTATATATACTATGACTTCACCTGATTTGAAAGTATCTATATATACTATGACTTCACCTGATTTGAAAGTATCTATATATACTATGACTTCACCTGATTTGAAAGTATCTATATACACTATGACTCCACCTGATTTGAAAGTATCTATATATACTACGACTTCACCTGATTTAAAAGTATCTATATATACTATGACTTCACCTGATTTGAAAGTATCTATATATACTATGACTTCACCTGATTTGAAAGTATCTATATATACTATGACTTCACCTGACTTTGACTTCATAAAATTTAATCAACTTAGTTAAAAGTAAATTTAAATTCACTAAAATTGTAAACTACAAAATTTATAATAATTAAAAAAGTAATAAATTATATAGTAAAAGTATTCTTAAAAAAAGAATTTATTATAATTTTTAAATCAAAATTTATGATTTATATTAAATCTTCTTTTAACAAATTTATATTTGTTATTTTTTATTATCAATCGGTCAAATCATATTTCAACCAACATGAAGAAAATTTGTTGGTCACCATCTCTAAATTTCCTGATTTTTACATATTGTTATGTTTATTAAGTAGATAGGTTAAATTTGAAATTTCAGCCTTTTAAGTACAACGGTTCAAAAATTATAGCCTTAGTAACATGACACAGTGGCCCCCCTTGATTTACAAATAAATAGGGTTATTTAAAAATGCTGGCATTATTGGTGTGAATTTAACAAGTTAATAACTTTTGCATTTTTAGAGAGTTGGGTCTAATGATCTTATATGCTGTTAATTTTAAATCAAAACAAAGTGTTTAAAAAATTTGGCAATTTTGGCAAATGGACATTTTTCTTTTAGATATATTTTAGTTCTAAACTGCAACAAGCTACCTATATTTTTCCCATTTATTGCAGACAGTAGTATCTAATCAGAAAACTTATCTGTAAAGACTTATGGAAGAATAGAAAAATGCTACAGTTAGATTTTATTTGGCATATTTTATCAATTTTAGGATTTTTCCCTTGGTTGAGGTGGTCATCATTTTTCTCTAATTTATTAAAAGTTATTAAGTTAACCATTTTGTTAAAGAGAAAACTATCCAGAAAATAGTTCTAGAATAAATGAGACATTTGTTGAAAATGAGAAAAATGTTATACAGCTTTAAAGTAATCTGTTTTGACCATTTGTAAATTAAGGGGGAATTTTCAAACCGTTGTACTTGAAAGTCTTAAAATTCAAATTAATCCTCTACATAATGAACATAACAATATGTAAAAATAAGGAAAATCAGAAATGGTGACCGTATATATATTTATGTAACTTTTCATAAGACAACAAACTTTATTTTTAAAAGTTTTTGCTCAGACCCAATAAACAAAATTAACAGAATTAGAAGCTGTACCTTTTGTTTTAATGGTCATAGTCCAAGTGATCTGTGTTTCAGAAAAAATCTTTTGTTACTCTTTTATAACTTGAAAGTTGGTTAAAATAACTTAAATTTCATACTTCACAACTTAATGACTCAAATTTCATATTTTAGAACATGAAAACTCAAATTTCATACATCAGAACTTGTTAACTCAAATTTCATACTTCAGAACTTGATAATCCAAATTTCATAAATCATTATATAAACTCTTATTCTTGAGTTATTTTAAATCTGCCTTAATCAAATATTGGAACTGTAAAAATAACAAGCACATATTCACATTTATATCGTATTACACTGTAATATGATATGAATAAATGTTTGTGCTTTTTTGGCTGTGTCAAATTTAGCATTTTATTATAATAATAGTAACTTAAAATAAAATAAAAAGAAATATACAAATGATATGATTCATATCATTCATATAATATAGCTATATTCATATAATATAACTATATACTATATAGTATATCTCTTTTTTTTTTTTTTTTTTTTTTTTTTTTTTTATAACTATTATTATAATAAAATATTAAATTTGACACACCTAAAAAATAACAAACATTTATTATATTTTTATATTCATATTCATTATGTATATTCATTCATATTATGAATGAATTCATCCTCATTTAAATTACATTTACAGAATATAAAAACATATGAACGTATTCATACTCAGTAATTAAAAAAAAATAATGATAACAATTGGGCTTTATGATAAGACTAAACTTGTTTTGACTATATATATATATTTTTTTTTATATTAAAAAGTGTAACTTTTATATCGTACAAGTGGCTTGATAATCAAACCCACTTGCGATCTAAATCATTATTTTTATTTTGGAAAAGTGAGAAACGCAAAACTGCTCAATTAATTTTATCAAACATGAAGATAAATACCAACACATAATAAAGATTTAAACAAAAAAATTATAAATAGTACCTAATAAATTCCGATCATTAAATATTGAATATATTTCACTTTTGGTAACAATTACTCCATTCCATTTAGACTTTGAAGGCTGTTATTTATAACACATTACTCGACATTAAAGAACATTATTAACCACTGTGCTCAGTTGCTAGAATAAGAAACTAAGGCGTTCTTAGAGCTTTAATGTCAAAATGTCACATGGCATTAGTAAATGTTTACTTTCATTTTTTATGAAAGTCAATTTTTATAGAGTTTGAGCAAACAAGCGTTACGTAGAAGCAGCGGAAAGAATTTCTCGTAAATAATTAATAAGTCTTAGGGAAACACCCTTTTTAACGCTTCGCGTTTAAAACGTACGCAAAAAATCTAATTTCTTACCACTAAAAAAACGTACTTGACATGAATAATTAATGAGTTTTAAACTCATACTTTAGTTTATATTTTTGAGGTTAATGTCTTTTTAAATCCTAATTTCAACTTTAAATTTAAAGTAAACTTTGATGCAGGTTTTCTAGTGAGGTTGCTTGATTGTTTATAGAGCAGACATTTTTTGGAATTGTTCTTGGAATTGTTTTTGAAATTGTTTTTGAAAATACTTTAAACTTGAAAATAAGTCATGTAAATTTATGACTTGAAACGCGCATGTTAAAAGTTTTTCATGCTTAACATTTTTTGAATTCGCCGTGGTAGCAAACTTGCTAGCGTTTGTACTAACACCGCCTGGAGATAACGCGTGTATGCTTAAACTCTTTAATTTTTGATCGAGGACGTTACGAACAGTTTAAATATATTTATTGTTGCGTTGGTTTGCAAAGGTTTTAACCATAGTCATATTACCAGGTTTTTTTTTATTTTAGAAGAATAACAAATAAATTTTTTTTTTTCTTATTTTTCTATGTCTAAATAAAATTATTTATATGATTATTCTTTATTTATTCATGTCCTTTTATGCATCAATCAAAAAAAAGAATACATAAACAAATTTTAAAAAATAATATAAATAATTTTAATTAAACATTAAAAAAAATTAAAAAATTTATTTTTAATTTTACTAATATAAGAAATTTCAGTCAAAACCTTGTCAAACCAACGCGACGATGTTGCTAGAAAAAAAAATTTTGTGTTCAAATTTGGGACACTCGGATTCATAGCCTATTACTAAATACTAGTCTAAATAGACAGAAGCGATTTTTTGGGTGGGAAAGGGTAGTGGAGGGTGAGACACCCCTCCTTCTCCAAAGAAGGTAATTTTCAAGATATAGTCGGTTTATAGTGAGGAATATAGTTGGGTAGTTTACAACTTTCAGTCGGGTGAATTTTAGTTTTCAGGACATTTTTTTTTGTTTTTTGTTTTGTTTTTTACCAGGTTTGTTTTACACCACTTTTTAAGGATTCACCCCCCACCTCCTCATTTTATTTGTAGAATCACCTCTATATATAGATAATATAGTGTATATAGACAAATTAGTCTATATTTATTACATCCAGAAATGGCGGCAGTATTTTTGATGATTAAGTAAAATCTTCTTTCAAGGGGGCTGCAAACTTCACACAGTCATAACTTTTGAACACTTAAAATTACTTGATAAAATGTAAAATATAAATTTAGCTTAAAATAGTAATAATAAAAAAACTCAGAAAACTATTCCCCTTTAAATTTTGGTTTAATGGGGAGGGAGGCACCAGGAAAATCTTTTAAAATAACTTTTAGGGTTTTTATTGTTCCTAGATTTCAACTACAGCAATTTTTCAAAAACATTCTTATTTGATATCTAAAAGACACACTTTTTCTCTATTATTAAAATAGTTACTGTGATTCCTGACTCCATTAAAAGCAGGTTTACATTGTAACTAAAACATATAAAGTCTCAAAAACTTCAAAAGTAAATTTATGCAATTAGAATCAGTTTAATTCTTTTTTTTTTTTTGCTGTTTTTTTTTTTTATTATTTTTGGTTTTTTCAGTGAATCAGTAAATTAAATTTAAAACCATATTAATTATAGAGTTTTTAAGTTATTTGAAATTAATGTATATTTTTGTCTTATTAAGATTTTTTTTTGTGTTATTTAAAAAGCAAAATTAATTGCACTCTCTTTTAACTTATGTTTAATCTAAAAATTATCATTCCCCAACAACAACAACAACAACAACAACAACAACAACAACAACAACAACAACAACAACAACAACAACAACAACAAGCTATTTATTTTCCGCTTTCAGTTTTATATTAGTTTGATAAGAATAATAACAATAATAATAGTAACAAAATTTATAATAAAATATTATAATAATGTAAGATAAAAAAAAAATTAGTAACGACATGACTTGAAGATCATGAGGATCTTGTCATGAAGCCCTATACAATAAAAAAATGGTTAATTTTTAATAAAAATACAATGTCTGTAGTGAAATAGTAATACACTTTTATGCAAAAACATTTAAAAACCAAGATAAAATGTTAAAAAGCCAAGATAAAGTGTTTAACCAAATAATGTACAAAAATAGAACAACAACAAACAAAAAAAACAAACAGTTAAAATTAAATCAAGATATTTTCAATCAAAAATACAATTTTTTTAAGTTTTTGTTTGAATGAAGCAAAAGTCAGTTGAGTAGAAAAATCAAAATTTGGTAAGACTTGGGTAAGAAATTTGGTAATTTGTTCCAGAGATAAGGACCTTGATAAGGAACAAAAAAAATGGTCTTGTTTTTACGGCAAAAAGGGGCAATATGATTGTTATTAATTCGAAGAACTGGTAGCTAAACTATATTTTGATAAAAGCGTAGAGCTGTTTACGTAAGTAACAACAACAATAACAACAACAGCAACAACAACAACAACAACAACAACAACAACAACAACAACAACAACAACAACAACAACAACAACAACAACAACAACAACAACAACAACAACAACAACAACAACAACAACAAGCTATTTATTTTCCGTAAATCATTTTTACAAAAGTTTGATAATAATAATAACAAAAATAATAGTAATAATAATATATTATAATAATATAAGATAAATAAAAAAAGTTATTACAAATTATAGTAATAGTAACAATTAGTATGTTTACAATAATTGCAATGAAAAAATAATAATGATAATAAATATTATAATGGTAGTTATTACCATAAGGTTATTTATAATAATAAGTTAATGATTTATTAGAGTGTTGTCACTCATGCAAAAATTTGATTAAAGCAGTGACACCAATTTTTGAATATAATATAAGTAATAATAAGCAAAGATACACATAAAAACATATGATTTTTGTTAAAACCTTAAGATTCCTATGACACCGGAAGATATATTACGTAACTGCCATCAATGTTAAAATTAAATAAGTATAGTTTTAAAGTATAGTAAACCGTGAACACATAGATTAAAGCACATAAAACATATATTAAAACAAACATATAGAAATCATAATTTGCAGGTTTTAATAATAATAATAAAAAATAAATAAACAAAAAGTACTGATGATAATTGTATTAATAACAAACAATAACCAATTAAAGATATATAAATAAATAGCTTAAACAATCTTTTGAATAATTTTACACAGAAAAATAACTACTTGATTTAATTTAAGAAGCCAGCTTATATAGGTTAATATTTGACCTGAAATATTCAATGAAAACAACAGGTTTGTTTGCGTATAATTTAAATTATGAATATCACATTTACAGGTACGGTAGCTTCTATATTTGAATACTATATTAATGAGAAAATTGAAGATGAATTCTAATTTATTTATGAAGTGATTTTTCCTCAAAATATATGATAAAATGTATACTTTATTTTGTATGGAAAGAATGAAGTCTTTGGTATAATTATTTATATTATAGCATTTTATACAAATGAGAGTTAATGGCATTAATATTAATGAAGTGATTTTAACAAAGTTAACGTAGATTAATTAATTTTTTTTTTTTTTAATTCGTAAAACTATCGAATTTTAGACTATTTCCAATAATCTATGGTTTAATATGAAACATTAGTTCCCAAAATTAAAAATTTTTATCAATGTATTTTGTAAATTTCACACCCTCTAAGTTGTGCAGTATTTCACAAAGCGTTAAGAATAATTATAACGTCAAATAGCATTAAATTTAAAATATGATTTGAAATGAAAAAACAAAAAAAAATTATTTTTCAGAAAATTCTTTATTAGAGTTCCATAATAGTGACAGTAGTGAAATGAGTTTAATTTTAAAAGTTCAAATGACGTAAACGTGATTTTTATTGCAGTAATAGCTTTACACT